GTGATTCGCTAAAACACAGAGCGGCTTTTCTACGTTACGCAGCGCACACCATTATAGGGGGGGGGGGGGGGGAAAAAAGAGTCACTTCTCTCCACATTCAAAACGCAATTAATCTCGAACTGCGAAACCAAATCAAATGAGCCCAATTGCATATTAAGAGCACATTCTAATCTATCAAAAAGTTACATGACAGCCTTCTACACCGACGACATCAGAAGATTTTCCCACGGAAACATGGTTCACGGTACGAGCTCAACGAGGTCGTCGAGGTACCATAGACCATTACGACGTCCCTGAAACGCTGGTCAAAAGCGGTCTTGCACAGTCACAGCTAGTGTCTCTAGAAGCTATTCACCAGTTAATCGATTGAAGAAATTATGTAGCAGCTTCAGGCCGGAGCGATTACGGTAAGCCTCGTTGAGCTCGACGGTGACGGCAGATGACGTCATATTCTGAAGACGGTGGGGCAGTGAAGGAGGGCCTGCTTCTGCTTATGGGGGACACCTAAGGAATATTCTGCCGTAAAACATTCATTAACAGCGGCATCCTGTGCGACGAAAAATTTGATGATGTGCGCCATAGGCAAAGTGACTCTTTTTTTGCCCCCCCCCCCTGTACACCACTGATCAGGAGTGACCCAGGTTACCCCCACAGCGAAAGAAAGAGAAAAGCGAAAGGTAGCTTCCACCCTAGCAAACCACACCCTGTGATTTTCGAAGGTTTTTGTTTGGAAATTGGATTTATGCATAGAACTTTAAGTACACCGCAGCTAATGATCACACATCAAACAATCATGCGTGCAAGAAGTACAGCAGTCCTCTATGCTCAATTCCATTGAAGAATTGAAAATGGTAGAAGATTAGAAGACTACTGAGTTTTGAATCGTAATTTGGCAAAAAAAATGCTAGGAAAAAAATCGGTTACTTTCCGAAACTATCCATGAAGAATTGCAACTTACCTTTTGATTGAACAAAGCTCTTCTTTTTTCAAAGACAGCTCAACTTCAAGATGTGTTCCCTTTAGAAGCCGTATGGAAATGCATGCCGGCTGACTGACTTCCTGAATATGTGAACTCAGTACCACCATATCTCTTATTCTTGAACAGCTTCACTACGACCAAAAAATTTGGGCCAACATCAATCCACGGACGTATAATCTCAGTATCATAAGGCATGAAAACGGATACTTGAGCTTGATATTAAGGTTAACAGGTTAGGACCGCAGTTTTCGACCCGCATTTTGACGCTACTGTTCATCATTCCAAATAAAAAGCAGGTCGGTCAGAGTGACCTTCCGTATGGTAATTCTGGCGTCCTCCCAGACATCGCAGAGCGCTCACACATCTCCACGCCTTCGCCGCGCAGAGATCCCCTAACAGGCACAGAAAATAACATACCGGTATCCTTGGTTCCGGCTCTGGGTCAATTGATGCGATTTCCTGAATCACCGGTGCCACTGGCCTCTTGGCGATCTTCATTGGTTCAATACAGCCCATCACTGTACGATTTTTCAGCTTCACACATTTATTTGGATCCAGTTTCAAATGATGCTAAATCAGATAAATTAGCCATTCCCCTCAACCTTGAAAGCAAAACAGACGAAGGTACCTTATCTTCGATGGCGTCACACACTACCATACAGAAGAAATGGCGGAAAAAATTGGCAGCAGGCGGTGCGAGCCTTTTCTCGTAAAACACGCTATTCACCAGCACGTCGATCTATACCATCAATATGAATAAGGAATTTGGTTCAGAAGCAAAATTCCTCCAAAATATCAGTACCTTTGGCTGATTAACATTCTTATTATCAACGACACTATCGAGTTCACCAATGCTGACTGGTATACGGTAACCAACATCTCCTTTATCAATACGAGCTGCAAGCTCGTCCTGAAAAAAGTGCAATGTCAGCCTAAATTTCCAGCACCTGAGAAAAACCAAGCTACAGTACTGAGAAAAAGAAAAGCCGTCAGTTTCATAGCCCTGAGGTTTACCAGTTAATGGCATGCTGGAACCTGTCTAAGAATGGTAAACACAATGATTGTACATTCAGGGGCTAGAGTCGCTGCGCATCCAAGTGCATGCAGACGCGTTTACAATCCCACAGATGCGCGGTGCATCCCAAAGGAAATTAACATCAACGTCGACCACCTTGTCTATATTATTTCTTAGCCTAATTCAAATCCCATTCATGAACATTCAAGGAGATTAATATCATTTCCATGATAGGTGGTAGTACGATCGGCGAAACTTATCATGTCCCCCCCCCCACAAAGTCAAATCTCGGGCAAGCTTCACACAGGACAAACATGCTCCCTCAGGGTCAAGCGAGGCGTCGAGGAAAATTCGGAAATACGACCCCCCCCTCCCTCTGCCGAAGGCCGAAGTCCATGAAACACCCCTCTCAAAAAGCCGAACTATGAAAAAGGTTGTTTAATTCATAAAAGCCCTGCTACCCCACCGCCCACCGAAAAAATTTGTTAAAGAATACAAAAGTGAAAAAGTCAAAGTAATGATCATTAATGATGAGTACCTACCAAACGAGCAAACGAGAAAAGAAAAAAAAAAAACGACAAACTAGTTAAAAAATAAAGGATAAAAAGGATAAAGCATTTGCCGTTGATCAATCCCTTTTTGGGATGCGGCACGCATTCTACTTCCATTTGTACATTCGTAGTGGCGTTTGAATGCGATGTGGCCTATACAATGACTTGCGGGGGCCAGCCGATGTACAAGTCAGTGTTTTTATCCTCCCAGACAAGTCTGGTACCAATTAACCGACCCCGGAGGGATGGAAGGCTTGGTTGGCCCGGGCGACTCACGACCCAGGATTTGATCCCCGGACCGCTCGCGTGGTGAGCGCGCCACTTGTCACTACACCACTTCCGCCCCTTAAAAATGGCATACTATGACAACATCTCTTCTTTATTTATTTCCTCCACAAGACTTACCAAATTCTAGTACTACAATTCTCAATTTACACGTCCCCCTTTCGCTCGGAAGGAAGCCTTGTAAACCGCCTTCGCCAGCTGTGTGTTGACTGGACTTTGGCGTTGACCGTGGAGCAGCTTATTTACTATTGAAATTTGAACAAATATTCAAATGATTATAACTTTCTTCAAATATGACGAATTTTCAATCTGAAAGCAGATTTGGAAGTTTTGTGAAGAGCTTTTCTAATCAGTATTGAAATTACAAAAAGTTATAAGAAATAACAAATTTAGATCAATTAACGAGGAAAATTCGAGACGAGCACGAGTTTTTACACTTTCCGAAGCAATAACTTGCTTCATTTCGTCAAATTCGAAAAGTTAATATGTCATACAAAACTAGAAGATTTTCTCTATCAAACGGTTGCTAAAGCAGCTTCATACGTCCAGTATTCAAAAAATGGCCACGTTGAGGATTTTTGCAAAATTAACGAGGAAAATTTGTGATGAGTGCGAGTTTTTTTACTTTCCTAAAGCCATAACTCCGTTCAAACTCATCCAATCCGAAAAGTAAATACGCCATCATAAACTAGAAGATTTGCTCTATCAAATGCTTACTAGAACTGCTCCAAACGTCCAGTATTAAAAAAACGGCTACGTTGAGGATTTTTGCACGAGTACCGCCGAAAGGTACTTTTTCGCTGCACTGGCACTATTCCAGCGACCATAGATCCTTTTAAGGGCGATTATGTACTAAAGTAAGAGCAGATTCGGAATCACTGTTTTTCTCTTTTCAAGAAAAGTAAAATTGTTTAGCGTTTCTCAACTTTAAAAGGTTACATGTTTATGAATTTAACCCTGAAGAGTGCGTTAATGCAATGTTGAATGGTGTACACCTCCCTGTAATTGCGCACGGACACTTTCAGAATCCTCTCGATTTTTCCTGAATTGAGATTGTTTGTCCAAGGAGCCGTAGTTGAAGCGCGCGCAACAACTGACCCACTCTGGGATGCGCCGTGTACTTCACATCCCTTCAGATTCGAGGACTCACTTGAAAGATTTACGAAATTCAGATTCTTTAACTTGTGTGGTGATAAAACACTGAAGTAACTAAGAATTACCGGACGCCTCAGAATCACGAAAATTTTGTGTGGGTGAAATATCATTTTCATTGGAAATCCTCTGGCCTGGCATCGACTCATCCTTGATATTTGTCTTCCGACGGTGATGATCCCACTGCATCAAAATGGCTCGATCTCTTCCACCCAGCGGGCCATACGACCCCCCCCCTGCGACGTGTCGAGGATTCCTCAACGCACGCTTGACCCTGGTTCCCGCCCAACTGAGGCGGATAGCTGACGCTGCCGCAGACCTGTCATCAAAAAATCACCCTGCTCTGCACATCAGTTTCTAGCCCCGTTGTAAAGTCTCCAAGCCGAAAATTTAAGATTTTGCTGCAATTCTGAAACCTCGTCACACTCGCGACGGGTCGAGCGATGGAGCGAAGCGATTGCGCAATGTGCACAAGCGACGGGCGATTGGCCCCGCCCCCAGTCAATGCAGTCGGCTGCGGTATCGATCGAGCAGAGCCATTGCCCGTCGCTTGTGCACTTTGCAAGCGATTGCGCAATCGCTTGCCAATCGCTCGACCAAGAGCGATTGGCAAGCGACGGACAAGCGATCCGTCGCTCCGGAGTGTGAACGGCGCGGATTAAAAAGAAGCAGAATGGGTGGGCATTCCAACAAAAGTTTCACCCCACGACTTATGAGTAGGTGGTTCGATAAGCGGGCCGCCGTTACAAATTAAGGTAGAAGTGGCAAAGACTGCAGTGATGGAAAAACCAAAAAAAAACAGCCTAAATCCCACAATACCACACCCATTTTCTGTCCGTTGCTTCCCCTGACATGACAGGTGGTGCCATCAAATTAAAAGATAGTTCTGCTTCTACGCCTGCCCCGCCGCAAACGTGAACCGGCCTGACCGAACTCAAACTAGTAAATCACAGGTCAAATCCGTCATCTAGTAAAAGCGAGGCCTCGGCGGCGTTTACCACGTGCAAGGCCCCCTAGGCCACAAAGGGCGAAGCACAAAAATGCTATGGGAGCAAACCCTCCCTCTAAGGTAGAAGATTTCCTCCTTTCTATTATGTCTTAAAAAAAACAAAAACACTGGTTTTAATCTCACTCACTTCATCAATATCCTCGGTTGGTGGCGGTAGCTCCTCACAATGACAGATGTTTAGAAAGCACTTGTGCGGCTCACTTTCACCAAAAACCAATTTCATGTCAACCTGAACTGAAACGACAACATCGTTTTATAAGCAAAAATCGACTGCCCGCTATTAAATGACCTTATCCTCGTCAATATAAACATACGAGCATCGTTAGAAGAAAGACACACAGAGCTTAGCTATGAAATTGAAAAGCGAACACGAGAACAAAAACTCCAACCGCGCTAGTAAACTTCATTTCGTGTTATTACTGCCGAAAACCAAAATTAACGAACAAACCTCATTGCATTTTCACGACGTATCCCGTAGGTGGAGTGACCATACCCACCTTCCGGGTTGTTCAAATTTAGGTTCATATCTACAAAAAAGGATCGCGGTCTATTAACTCGGTCCTGATTATCTTTCAACTACTAGTTGAAAAGAACAGAAAATAACCTGAGAATTCATCCAACTGTGACTGCAAGTAGACTCAACACCGTATGAACCCTTTATATCAACCGATCGATCGAACCACCTAAATAAACCACAATAGGTAATCATTATAAATTTGGCAATTGATACACAAATTAAAAGCCAGGCAACAGAATATTACCCAGCAGATCACAATTAATATGATTAAGAAATGGAATAGGAAATCCTTTCCATAGCAAATGGATACCAACAGAGGAGGTTGAGTGCTTGGCAAGGATAATCATGATGAGCCATCCAAAGCAGAAGTCTATGAAATCTTATTTATCTGTTGACAACTACATTTTATTTCCAGCTTTTTATCCGTTGTAGCAATAGTGACACTTGAAAACTCACATTCAAGAATTTTGGACAAAATATTCACTACTAGTCTTTATTAACGATAACTTACAAAACCCTTCAGCCTGAACCACTCAATATGATTCCCAAGAGCTCAAAGTCGGGTGAAACTCTCAAATCAGTTCGTCCCACCACCCATTCAGTTTGCTTCCCTACATTGGGTTGCTGCATTGTCGCAACAGGGAAAAGGATAGGAATGACCATCGCACAGAAAAAAATTAGGAGGGTCCAGAACCTGACTGATATTCATTATGGCCTTTTGCAATGTCAACTATCATCACAATGACTCCGGGAAAGTTACAAAAAAGGGCTGATCAGAAGATCAAACTTACTGAATTCACCTTTGCTGTGCAAACAATAACAAGTTGCAAGCGAAAATGAAAAAAAACAAGGAAAATAAATTATAAAAATTAAAACTCCTATAGAACACTCGGAAATCTTCAAAAAATGGCCAACAATGCAAAAACGGAGTAGAGCAGACGCATGGATACGCTACCAAAAGGCGTTGCTGGTGCATAGAAAGAGCTATCACAAATAGCTTTGACGACGCCGAACTACACCATATAACAGCCAATGCCGACACCGAATATCCGAAAACTCCCTATAAAACAGTGACTGTAATTGAGTAGTGAAAACGACGCAAATTTAGAATGGTCACATCATGGATAAGTGTATGTACTTCAGCCTACAATCAAAACATAAGTACATCGAAGCAGATGTGTTTGCCAAATTGTTAAAAATGCTCTGTTACTTATGGATAATCGCAACTCATTTCTACTATTCACAAGTTTTCACACTATAGATACGTTGTGAGTTATGTCTCGGATTCAAACGGACCACCTGAGTTGTAGATGTGGATGCACGCAGATATCCCAAAGGGGCCTTAATAAATACTTAAATTCCTCCCTGGACCAGGAATATTTCTGATCGCGTTGGCCGATTAGCAAGGGGTTCGCTGAAGCTCAGCGGATAAGATAAATCTGTTTCTCCTAAAATCGCGAACGGATCCTGTTGAACACGGGTAGGTGATGGTCTCCACGAGGTAACTCACTCTGACCGAAAAGTGTCACAGATGTGCAGCTTTGGTCTTTTCACTGATTTAGTAGTGGATCTTTCTCCATGTGGAAAATGGAGGTGCAGTATTCCTTCGTGCCTATGCAATGGTATTCTCTTTAGAAAATAAAAGGAATTGGACATTTAAACATATTCGGCGAAAAATATTCCGTTGTGCAAGTCGCAAGGTGATTTAAGAAAAATACTCATTTTCTATTGCTTGGTTTCACACCTGGATCTAATCTCCGCAGGTTCGTGAATTGTTTGCGCGCTGTCTCAATCAATCGCAAATTCTCAATGTAAACAGTTTTCGATGAATGGTTTAACTGAGCAGCGAAACTCATGGAACAGTGCGTTTTCCCGGAATTTAAAATGAACTCCCGATGTATCCAGCACTCCACGACAGTCACAGGTTCAAATAGGTCTATAGCAAGCATTGATTATGTGGAAGCGATTGCGCAAATGAGATTAAAACCAGTTCAATAGGAAAAGTCTAGCATCGCAAGAAAAAAGAGTTCGAATGAGTCGTTACGTGCAATGTAAATAGCTGAAAAGCGAAATAATAGCAAAAGCCCCCCTAGATAACGAAATGAATGGCAGCTAGAATTTCGCCGCTTCACTTATTTTGCTATTCGAATGTATTGAGCAACGGGCTTTTATAATTTGCGCAAGAACTTATTGTTGGAGACTTTTCAGGAAAAGCCAATCGTTTTGTCTCTTTGCTTAGGTAATTGACGCTCAAGAGATTGCAAAGAGATTGAACAACACCAATTGGCTATACGTGCGGAAAACGCTACCGTATGCTTCACAATCTCTCGTAACACGTATTGCAAATAAAAAATAAGCAAAAACTAACCTTGAAGGACAACACTGCCGTTACCAGGCTGAGAAGCGCCATCGGAAGTAAACAGTAACCCAACACAGAAGCTGTGCATGTGAATGAGATCGTCTTTTCCGCTGTAACAACATATCATTAGATGAACACTGAAAGAACACGGAAACTATGCTCATAAAAAACCTACCCGCCATGAGATTCATCAAAGCATACATGCCCACACATCCAAGCCCACCTATGCCGTAAATATAACCGAACGTCATTTTCCCATGAAGTAGTAATGCAAATCCTGAAGAAGAATGAGACTGAAGAAACAACAACACGTTTTCTGTCTAATGGACGCACCAAACAACAAGCAGAATACTAGAGGTCCTGCCAGGTCTTGATCCTCGATAACTTCGGGTGATGCACTACTTGTTGGATTCAGTACAGCAAACGTCTTTTCTTTGATATGAGAGAAATTAATCCCGAGCTCTTCGAGCAATGGTGGCTCGTTTTCGTAGTCTTCACCATCACCACCACCTGCGCCTGAAAATATAATGTACTGAAGAGGAAGACTTTCCTAACACCATGAAGGTAACTGACGTTAAGGCGAGTCATGCGGCAAAAGGTGTTCAAAAAACTGGAAAAATGAAGGCGTCCTTGCCCTTCTAGGTCTCCTCAATGAGTTTCGTATTTGCCGCTTTTGGAAGAGATAAATAGAAAGAATGAGAGAGATTAAAAACGTGTCAAATTATCCAAGTTTAGCAAGTGGAGAACTCTATCAGAAGTGACGAGCGCACGGGTGAGTCAGTAGATTCACCGAAGCGTAGAACGACAGAATCTGGATGGAGAAAAGTGATTCTGCATCGAACAGCTGTTTATGCAAAGAGAGTTTCTCACTAGGAAATTTTGCAAATACACCTCTACAAAACTTTTCGAAACAAAGAAAACATGTCCAGATGTCTTTACAGAATAATTGTACTACTAAGCGTAATTTCCAAGGTCA